AGCCTTTCACGCACCTACGTATAACACACCCAGTGTTCTACGGAGGCTTGCTTAAGCCTTGCCCTGATCCGTCGCTGGTGGATCACGAGGCGCTTGCGCCGATATAAGCTAGCGATGATACAAGTCGAGTAACACTCAAAAGAAGATCCAGCTGTCCTTCAAGTCGCGCCAAGAGGTCACGAATATCATGCACTTCGTGCACTATCTCTTCGACGACGCGTCGAGATTCACCTGATAATACGTGCTCTCGTTGGCGAGACTGGGGATCAGCAGTAATATGTCGATTGTCTCTCACAGCGACGTCGTCGCGACGGTCAGTACTAGTACTTGGTACAGTGGTGGGGGTACCCGGTGTCGGGGAACTCATTAAATAATTTAGTGCTACTGCAGAAGAATTGTCCGTATGCCGTAAGCGTTTTTGTACGTCGACCTCAGGTTTAGTCGCTCCAAATTGCTTACCACTAGTTAGTGCGGAGGTGGAGGAGAATGCAGCTGTGGCAGGTGCAGGTGCGCTGAGGCGCTTGTCCGTAGCTACCACAGCGTAGTGGGCGTGATAAAAAGATCGGAGTTGACCTTTAAATTTTGTTTTGTGAAATCAAAACGCACCTTCCGTGCCAGCCAAACGTCGGCAATTGGAGCCCTCTCAAATTTCACAGGCTTGCCAGACGGCGACCTCTGTGAGCCCACCGCGTGAAGATGGCATCGTTGTCCGCCTCTGTCTCACCAGAGAAAATAACGACGTGTAGTGTCTGCATGGCGGACACTAATGAACCTTGGGCTTGCAGTATCAGTCTGTCGAGGTAATCTTGTGCAGTTACATACTCACCCCCAAATATCTCGCTTTAAGAGCCTCCCTTTTCGCTAGTGCTGTGGCTATGACAGCCTCACGTTCCATGATTACTGTTGCGAGTGTCTTCCTGGAAGTCTGAAGAATGCTCTCATACACACTCGGTTGTATGAAGCGGTAAGCACTGTGAGCATTTGCTGTGGGTACACATTGTGCTTGACGCCTGCGGGCATCGATCAACTGAATATACTGAGCTTGATCTTCAACGAGAGTGTTGTGCAACACATTTGGACGAAGGATTGACGATTGCACGCTGTGCAATAAGTAGGCGTATCTCTTTGCGTTCCACGAATCGATCAGGCGCAATGCGCGACATATCACGCGCCGGTGTCGTAACTGGATGTAGGTCATCGACACTTGACGCGAAGCTGTAATTCTTGAAGTGAAGCCGATCGAGATCGGATCCAACAGCCTAGGCGATTCAGCTAAGTACGAGGTGGTATTGGCTGTATTGCTCATGAAATGATAGCTAGCTATTAAAGTGTCACCGTTGAGAAGTTCTAACCAGCTCAAACCCATTTAGCCCGCACAGTACCAAGCTTTAGCACAGCTGCAGACAGTCGCACGGTCCCAGACTTTTGCACGGTCCCAGACTGTAACACGGTCCCAGACTGGAGCACGGTCCTAGACTGTAGCTCGGTACCGGACTGTAGCACGGTCTAATACCGTAGCACGTTCCCAGACTTTAGCACGGTCTCAGACTGTAGCTCGGTTTCAGACTGTAGCTTGGTTCTAAACTGTAGCACGGTCCCGGACTGTATAAATATTAAAGGAACGCGATCAAGGGACGGCAATTCCAGAGAATACGACCACCAGGGACCGCATTTAAGGGGTTGCGATCAGAGGACCGCGATCGCAAGGGACCGCGATCAAAGGACTACGATCAGAGGACCGCGATCCAGGGATTTCGATCTGACGTGGTCCACGTACTATAAAAGGAGTGCAAATCCATTCCACATGGAGACGACACGTGGCGGTCCTGACATACGGATTAGGCGTGATTACAGTTTTGGGTTTTAATTGGTTGACATCAAAAAGAGTTCAATTTTTTTATAAACACGTACATGTCGTTCTTGTTCCGAGTTGGATATTTTGGCCTCCCGACGTCAGAAAACTCTCAAACCAAGGGCAGGAAGATCATTTCTAGAGCTTTTAGCCAGAATTGCTAGAACGCTCAACACACCTCAACTTCAATCGGGCGCAGGCAACCTTACTAGTATAAGTACACGATCGCGAGACGGAGCTAGTGGTCAGAAGGCTCCCGACCCAAGTACCCCATTTTTGGCACATAGCGATCAAGGCTGATCGCGGTGACTCTAGGAGAGCGCCGACACAGAGCCCGCGATCGGGTAAGGAATTTCCACCAGATCGATGCTAATCTCTAATACGGTCAAGTTCAGCATCAAGTCAAGTCCCCTGAGAAGAGAGCAACCCGCCATACCGACGGGTACACAAAGTGAGGAGGAAACAAGTGCAAGCGTTATCGGAGCATCCCCGCCGTTAGTCGGTTGTCTGGGAGCCAGTGGACATCAGGATCGCCTGATTTAATGAGCGAACCCCACTCCACCACACTCTCGTAGTCCACCATACCTTTTTTAAGGATTTTTAAGGGTTGTTAGATTAATGATTTGACTCACTCATTTTGAGATTTGTTGTGAACATGATGGTCAATGACCAGAGCTTTTACACTTTGATGATCAGTAAATGATTGTCGACATATTTGTGTCGGTAGTATGGTGGAAGAGGGTGTGACGGGGAACACGGTGTAAGCGAACCGGTAATGTTGTGTGTCCACAACAAGTAAAGACCAGTGGATTGGAGTGGTGTAGTCTTGGAACTACGAACTTTCGGTAATACCGTTCCTTATCGTTTAAGGATAAGGGATTCGACTTCTGTCATAAAATCGTAATGTAGAAGTCAGGCAGAGTAAACTTTTGGGTTTTATTACCGTAGTTAAAAGATAGATTAATTTTTCTTTCAAATCGTTGGACACGAGTGCCTACCCAAGGCCTAGTGTCGTTACATGTTGAAGCCTTGACAAAACTTAATCTCTTGTGTAATTATGGTGGAGTGATTAGTCAAAACTGATCGACGAGACCTTAGCTCACTCACTGTGTTGGACTGCCGACTGCCGCAGGGGGTACCCCGATGCCGCTTGTGGAATTAAATCACCTTGTGTACCCGTCGGATTGGCGGGTTTCACTATCCGGAGGACTTATTGATACTGCAGACGTCGTCCTTAATGGAGATCGATCTAGGGGGCCCAAGCGGAATTGTTCCAGTCGGGGTCCAATGTAGGCGAGCGCTCGATTAACTTGGTCAAGATTGATCGTATAATCAGTTGTCTTAGGTGCTGGTAGCTCCTGGCATTTACTTGTTTCAGGGGTGGTAATTGCCTGGTCTTTACGCATCTTCTAATTTACCCCTGAGGTATGGAGGCCGCTTACTATAGCCAGATTGAGTGGGGTGGTGCTACCAACGAGTCCACCGGCCAATGTACTTCGCGGGGTTTTTCTTACGCTTGTGGCTTACTGGCAACTGTCATTTCGACAGGTAGACAACAGATCTCTTGCGTGGAATAGGTCGGTAGACTTACAAGTTTCTTAGTACGCGACACGTCGTGCTTCTTAGATCGCAAATTGAGATTATGAAATGGTACCCTATCCTTTTCACTTCTTTACTATATTTTGTGTTGCCCCCGGGTTCGCAATGATGAGTGGCTGGAAACCACCAGACCCAAAGGGACCGAGTCAACCTATGGGTGACCAGGTCAACTGAGGATGGCCAGATCGGCCAACGGGGACCGAGGTCCACCTTAAGCGACCAGGCCGACCAACGAGAGGTTTGAAAACGATCCACATCGCTACCGTTTTACTGGTACCGTCGGTCGGTATTACCCCGTCGGTGGTAACTTTGACCGCTCGTCACGATTGGACCCAATGGCCAACTTATTTTTTCAATCTTTAAGTCTCTAGTCCCTAGACCAGCTGTGAGATCTCGTTTATATTCGTCTCCTCGACCTTTAAGTCCGTCACTTCCGATACTTCGCTTCACCATAGCCGCCCCTTGCACTTTCTCGACCGTACGTCGGTTTAAGCACGAGCATGTCGTCATTACGCCAGTCCTGTAAGTCCCATTTCCTCTTGTGGCCGATATATTGTCATTTCTAACCTGTGTGCTTGCATTTATATAATTACTAGGATCCAATTCACCGTCTTAGGGTCGGCTTTGACTCCCCAGCCACCACTTGCACCCTCGGCAGAAGTACCTGCCCAGGTAGACCCATTCGCAGCATCGCCTGTCGCATCCGGTCTTGCGATTCGTCATCTTTGAGGACGCTGGTGGAGCTGACGTGACCACGCGGTCAACTGTGCCGCAGATGTGTTCGTCTCCGGTCATCTCTGGTGTGACGTAGCCCTTGGTCGTATCTGATGACCGTGCCGCTCCCGCTGGTGTCAATTCTATTCCACAAAACGACCTCGTCAGCGGCTGTCCACTCATGAGCTACCACCAATTAATGTGGTAGCGTTGTATTGCCGGGTCGAAGCCTGTGAGGGTCGATCGGCCTTAAATTCTCCGTCATCACAGTACTGGCCGCTCCGATGTGAGTGCTTATAGTGGGAGTTAGCTGACTCCAGCGCTCTCGTGTTGCAGCATTGTGAGAAGCTGCAACATTAAATAGCGCTAACCGCCCACTGGCGACGGTAAGTCGAATTTTGACAGATGCGGTGTCTCTTCTAGTGGCAGAGCTTAGTCACTCTATTTCGCTTGCGAAACTTTAAAGGGTAGTACTTGCGCCGCCCAAGGGACTATGCAAAACTCGATTACAGGTGATTAACTTCTTGCTTCCGCCGCCGGTATGCGGCCTCTGCGAAAGATTCTGTGTACTCTATATGATTGGCTAAGCGTGTGAAGGTGAGTGCGCCGGACGTTTTATTAAAGGAAGAGACGGTTTACAAGCTTATGGAAAGGCTGCATCGCCGATTATCCCGACATTTTTTGACGTGATTCTTAGCTTTGACCGCGAACCGGTCCGGGCTGCCATGGCGATATTTTGTCGTCCCGTCGTCAGCTGAAGACTGCGTTTCTGCCTTCCCCTCCAGCCCTTTCTACCATGCCAAAGGCTCCGACCCCTCGATGTCTAACCAATATCATGTTCGGCTCGTCCGGGTCCGAGACCAAGCTGCCGCCTCAGAAGGAGGGTGACCACCTAGCGGCTCGCAATCTCGTTTCATCAGCCAGTGAGTACCTGCTCCCGCAAGAGTCCGTGATACCAGCACAACCCAGGCAAGATTTTTCTCTGCCAGAGAAGTGGCGCCTTGGTCGGTCGTTCCAGTATACTCCTGGTTGCTCGTGACCAGACGCCAGGTGACCTGTCCGAACAATTGGATCTGCCTTCGAGTTAGTTCGGTCCGCCGGACGGGAATCGCGATCGGCCAGTAGAGTTAAATTCTTCGATGGTCACGTCGCCCATGGTCAGGAGCAAGATGGCCACAAAAGCTTGATTGGCTGCCAAGATCCCTTCCTCCTGTGTCGTTCAAGGATGGTCGGCTAAAGCGATGACCTGGCTGAATCATACAAGACTTATGAGACTGAGCAAGGTCAGGTTCTCTGGGAGGTATCTCAAAGGACCAAGCCGACATATGCTCCTTCTTTGACTTTTACTACAACTTCCAGAGTACACGGCGGAGTAGAGCGTCTTTGGCGTGGCTTGAGATTGTTGATCAGATCTTCGCAGAGATGGCCGCTCATCGATGTGACACCGACATCTTCTTAAACCCCTTCTTTCGGCACTTGCCTCGCCCTCACCTCGTAGTTTATTCGTTCCCTGGATATGAATAGGGGTCGGACCCGGTGGAACTATCGGCCGCTCATCATGTATAGGACTCTACGTGGACATGAATCTCCCAGTATAGACTTACCTATGAGCCCCACCCAGAAATAGATGTCGCTCGCCTTCAAAAAAAGTTCCATCCTCCTTCGTAGGAGTTATCGCTTAATGGATCTTGACTTTAATCTGTTTAACATCTACATTGTCCTCTTGTTGCTCATTAGCCACTCTGCCATGTCCTTTTCTTTGTCAGCCAGCGTTGAACTGCCTGGGTTACCATGAAAAGTTCTGGTCGACTCCAGATAAACCTTGGTATACCTAATATTACACTTAGTCAGTCCGATGGAGTCATGGTCGACTTCTACATAGCGTTGGCTGGTCACGAAACTCCGAGTCGCGCGCGGACGTAATGACCGATCCACAGGCGACCAGGCCGACCAACGGGCGACTGATTTACTTTCCCACAACTAGTCTTCGTGAATCTGCATCTCCTCGAAACGATTTTAGTCTAACACGTTGCGTTCCAACTCTCGTAAAGAAGTTCCACGATTTAAAAATGTGTTTCGTCGACTCATGACGGGTCGGTATGACCCTTCCAACGGATTAAGAATTCAAGCCGTTGCCGACCATAAGGCGTCTTCTTGCTGACACGGCTTTCCAAAATTACTTTCGCTTCGTATTTGCCTTCCTCGATCTCGCGAGTCCAGCTATCTCCGGCAGCAAGCATTCACCAAAGTCTATCCGGCCGGCCTCGTCCACTTTCAGCCGGTCAACTGGGTGATCAGAGAACTCCCTGACCCTATTCAGCTTGATAATGCGAACGATCGGAAAAAGCATGTACTATGTATTCCTTACTTCAGATCGCGCAGCACCTTCATCGACCAAGTACAAAGCTCGAAACGAAACATTCAAGACGTGAACCATTTTTTGGCGGACCCCTCCTTCACACGATCTAGGTAAAGCCACACTTGGGACTCCCGGCCGAATCTCGTGATCGACCGCTTGTTCACTATGAGCTATCACCCCGGGTTGACCGGCCGACCGCAAGTGTTCGCTAATCTGTTCCCTTGCACGCCGGTCGTGACTCCGGATGTGGTATCTCCATCTTCGAGCCTCCGACCCTTTGCATCTGATGTTCATTACTGGCAACGTTGCTTCCAGGGTGGTTCTTGCGTCCTACATGTGGGCCAAAAAAAACGGGGTCTCTTTGTGAACCCTATCACGTGCAGTGTTCAGTGCAAATGTCAGATGTTTTGTGTACTTGTCACAATCTTGATGCGCCACATCTAAGACATACATTATTACAGACCTTAATAGGGTTTAGACCATTCTTTCCGCGGTACCGTTCGCCTGGGGTCGGTAAGCCATCAACACCCGTTGATGCTGACCCACCATGCGATTTGACGCTCGGAAGAAGTCCAACATGACAACTTTTTCCCGTTCACGGCGGATCATCTCGCTGCCCCCAAACGCCGAAAAACACATTTTTCGCACCCTTCAGCCACCGTCTGAGCAGATCGCGAATCACTTGCCTTGGTCATCACATGTTCAGTGAATAAGTCGACTTAAATCAATAGTTCAGTGTTTCCCTCATGTGACTTGGGCAACGAGGAGATATTGTCCATTGCTAGGACTTGGAAAGCGTTGGTCACCTTGACGTTGCCTGGGGCTGTCCCTTGCAGGGTAGCCCCCCTTATTCCATCTTGCCCTCCACACGTAATTCCACATACCACTGTACACTTCAAAACAATACTCTCCATTAGTAGTATCGGCGAATCCGATAGTAAGTGCGACCGACCCCTTGATGACCGCCCTCAAGGCTAGCGTGGTAATGATATAATACGTCGTTTTATGGGAATTCGGGAATCCTGAGTCGAGCGGTCATTTCTCGGTCGCCTTCGTCGGTAATGTGGACGGGACAGTATAAATGTAATCCTTCATTGCTGACTGCATAATCTCTGTACATTTTGCTGCATGACTGTGCCGATTGTACTGATAGGACGCCTATTTCCTCTTTTAAATAATTTCTATAGAGCCATTACATAGCTCTCATCTTCTTGAGCCTTCCGGATACGGTCAGCTCGCAGCAGCTAAACCTCCTCTCCTTGCATCGTGTCTCTAGATGTTATAGTAGGTGGCCTAGATTGGGTCACCAAAAACTCTAGCCGTCAGATCTTGGTATTTGGATAATGGCATCTCTGGCAGTCGGTTGAACACTTCCAACCGTGGCCACTCTCGCCTGGGTACCGACTTAATTCCTTTTAGTATGTGAAGTGCTTCACTAGCAGGTGGTCCACACAATGGTTCCAATCGTGCTTTACGTGGAGCAACTCTTGAGAAGCACAAAACCAAAGCTTCTCTCAGAGCTCTAGCACGCAACGGAGACAGAACTTGTTTCTTGTGTGCGGAAGCCGATAGGATTGACTACACGCTCTCGCGAGGGGGGTACTACTGGCTGCTCAAGCCCTCAGCACCTAGTTTTCGACTTTATTGCACTTCCCAATCTCTAATGTACACTGAGACAAGAGAGCAGCGCAATTTTTAAAACGCCCCCTGCAATCCAGAGGATTTGTCCGACTATACTAACGTCGAGTGTCTCGCTAAATTTTGAGAGTTCATTTGATCAACATCGTAGAACAAGTTTCAATTATACGCAACAACGCCAACACTTCTTTCTCCACGGTGATATAGTTCAACTCGTTGGCTTTGATTGTCCGGCTCGTAAAGGTCACTGGTAAAGATAGGCCGCCATAGTCCTTCACCCAAAGACGCTCAGATGAATCATTTGCTCTGGTAGACAATAGTCACAGCTTCTTTCGACGGGTCGAAATATCGCAAAATAAGCGCTGTAGCAATCCTTTTCTTGAGCATAGCAAAAGCCGCTAAAACTCGAGATTATTTCTCTTCGTCTCCACCCGTGGTAACTGAGTGATGTCCTTTTTTTTACTTGCATCGCCACGCGTGAAAGTCTTCCTTTCTCAACTCATGTAGGATCGACGAAAAGATAGCTTGATTAGCGATGAACCTGAGTTAGTAAGTCAGACTTCCGAGAAACGAATGCATGTCTTTAGGAGTTAATGGTAGAGGTAGGTCGACAAGTGCTTGGAGGTCGTTGGGGTGGGCTTCCAATTCTTCTCTTAATACCCGATGCCCGAGGTTGTCGACTCTTCGTCATCTCCACGAACTCTTGACTGCACTAATTGACAAATTCCAGTAGTTGCACACGTCCAACAACCGTTCCACCTTGTCGCACAACCCGTTCCAAGATTCATCGGGTATAAGTATGTCATCTTTGTACGACCGACGACCCAATTCCTTGTGTCCTGACTCTTTGTCTGGTTCGTCCGACGCAAACAAATCTTCTACCTCATTCAATCTGGTCCCTGGGGTAATACGTAAACACCCATATAAAGCATTATCCAAAAAGTTGCTAAGATATCTGTGGTGCATTCTTCATTCCGAATTGTATCCATGGCCATTCGAACAGTTCTAACTGGGTGCAAAAGGCTCATATCAATATTGCCCTCTCATTCATGCTGACCGCCCGAAAACCACTTGCCATATCGGGAGAACAGTATCACAACGCACTATCCAAATCTTCTAGGAACTCTTTAATCAGTGGCATAGGGTAGACTATTAGTTAAGTCAATTCGTTTACCAACCGGTAAGTAATGCACAACCTGATGTCTACCCAATTCTTCTGTACGATGATCACTATTGAGCTGGCCCGAGGCGAGGTAGATGTTTTGGATTATCTTAGCTGACAGTGGACCTTTGATTTGGTCGGCCAACTCCTTTTTAAACTGAAAGGCTACCTCCGGCACTCGTTATGCAATTGGTCTCGCATTTCTAACGTCGATGTCACACATGGCACCTCTAGCGGCTGGTGGTAGGGCGTTACCCTTTTCCATTAGCCGATGTCGCTTCTTCCTTATTATTTACCTAAATCAATTCACCTCTTTAAGTGTGTTCCCATCCGAATCAGGGATTGTATATCCTTCAATTCGATGCCTTCGAGAGCGGGGTCTACTCCTGGTTATACTGCCTATCCTTGACTGAATTCTTCAGGCCAGAGTTCTCCGCTCTTAACAGTGCACACTTGTTCATCGGCTTGTGCTAGGTCCTCGTGTTTCGTTTTTGCTTCAGGAACGCTGAACTCCATAGACTGAGTGCCTGTGGTTTCCATCGACTGAGAGCCGGCGGCTTCTAGAGGTTAGGTTTTGGAGATCGTTTCCTTGCATGTTGGTAATTCCTCCACTGGCAGCTGTTGGTGAGGAAAATTTACTACCGGGGTGATCCATTTCGGTCGCTGCAAATTATGTAATGGGGTAATATGCTATAATTTGTCCACGAATGGCCCCGTCATCCTCCATCGGGCATAACTGACGGCTGTCCTGTTCGGTGGTAGCTTAGTATGCCAAATTTCACCACTCAGCTTTTCTTCGCGAGACCACAGTGACGAACCCTCGTGTCCTCGGTATTTGATCTTTCGCTAACGACATGCAATCCTGTTGTCGCCATGCAGT